GGCCGCGGCAGAGCCGGGCGCGCGGCTGAGGCCGAAGCCGGGGCCGGGGCGGACGCGGACGCGGAAGCCGGAGCCCGCCGGGCGCTCGAGCCGCGCGCCGCAGCCGCGGGAGCCGGAATCCTGCCGGCTCGGGTTGATTTGTAAACAATGGGTGACGTCGCCGGGCCCTACCACCCCGCCGGGGCGGGAGGTGGCTCGAGGAGGCGCCGGGGTGCGGGGCGTGGCGGGCTGCGCAGGGCTGCGGCAAGAGCCCTCTCGTGTCTGTGCTCGTCACCCGCCTATGAGGGGGTCCCAGGAGTGGGGACAGCTCTCAGAGTGCCCCGGCCCGACGAGCAGTACAAAGAAAATGGAGCCTCCGAGGTGGGCCGGGTTGGATTCTCCCACTCACAGGCACACCCACCCACACACCCAACCCCTCCTCCTTCGTCGCTTCCTCCCTCCCCACGTGTCGCCAAGGCCGGGGCCCGCCCCCCCCGGACGCACTCGCAGTCACCCGGACTCGGGCGTGGGGGGAGGGGCGGGCCCCGGCTGCCTTCCCGGCTTCGGAGAGGTGGAGGCGGGGAAAGGAGGAGGGAATTTGGGGTGTAGAGGGGACACTTCAATGGCAGACAGAATCGGTCAGAGAAGTCCCTGAGGCTTCCTCCTCCCCTAGGCTTCAAGCACCCTGGCACATCGCGAGAAAAGGACGCACCACCGCCTGGCTGAAGAAGAGCTGACTGCGTCTTTTGGGGCGGGGCGGGGGTTGAAATAGAAATATAGAGGATAGAAAATCATAATCACAGGACTCAAACATGGTTCACATTAAAACTTTTTTTTTGCCTTTCCAGCCTTTTTTCTGTAAAAGTATATTATACAAACAGGCACGCATACAATGTACGCACTTTTTCACTGGCCTTACATCAGAAACGTTTTTCGTGTCACTGCAAGCACTTTGAAAACGTTTAATGATTACATAAGTTTCCGTAACATATCTGTACCCTGGATTATTAAACAATTCCTTTAACGTTTGCCTTTTGCCTAATTTCACTGTTGTAAATGAGTGTGTGACATCTTTTTATGCATAAAACTTTTCCACATTGGCGATTCTTTTGTTAAGAGCGTATTTCCAGGAGTGGAATTTTAGGTCAAAGAATATGGATATTTAAAGGTTTCTGTTGAATGTACACGAAATCACTTTCCAAGCGTTGGGTAAATGTACTCTCCTATCATCAGTATGTGAGCATACATTATTCATAGCACCTTCAAGTAATATTTGAGTATTGTCATTAAATTTTTTTATGCCGACTTCATGGTGAAAGTGATATCTCATTTAGTTTGCATATCTTTGATTTTAGTTAGGAAGAGCAATTTTCTAAGTATTTGTTAATCAACTGTACTTCCTTTCGTGTGTGTGTGTGTGTGTGTGTGTGTGTATGTGTGTGTGAATTGTCTATCCCCTCATAAGTTTTTCTTATGGAGTTTTTTTTGTTTTTGTTTTGGTTTTTTTTAAAGATGACCGGTAAGGGGATCTTAACCCTTGACTTGGTGTTGTCAACACCACGCTCAGCCAGTGAGCAAACCGGCCATCCCTATGTGGGATCCGAACCCGGGTCCTTGGTGTTATCAGCACCACAGTCTCCTGAGTGAGCCACAGGCCGACCCTCTTACAGAGTTTTTCTTGTATATTTGCATAACTCTTCTACATACCAGAGATTAACCCTTTTCTCTCATATTTTACTACAAATAGTTCAGGTTTTTTTGTTGGCTCTGTATAGTCATTTTTTCCCAGTAAAACAAGAAATTTTAATGTACAGTAGTCAAATCAATAAAATCCCTTCCTTTGAGACTTCTAACACAAGGCTAAATTTAGAGTTTCCTTGTCTCCAGGTAGTTATTAAATATTCAGTACTATTTTCTTTAGATTTTTCTAATGCCTTTATTTTTTTCAAATCCATCTGGGATTAATTTTGGTCTCTGGCGCAGGGAGATGATATGACATTAATTTTTTTTCTCTCAGAGAGCTTGCCAGCCAAGGCTGTATTTCTTCACTAGGACAGAGGTGTGTGGGTAGTATAAACACAAGCTGTCTGATGAGTTCCCAGTTGCTGGTTAAACTGGTGGTTGTGAGGATTGGGTGAGGCTGGGAATTATTTGATCAGACTGTTGTTCAAAAGAACTCTGAACAGGTTGTACAAAGACCCAGATTCAAGTCTCATTCCTGCCACATCCTGGGTGTGGGACTCCTGGCAAATGAGTTTACAAGTGTTTTCACTTGTAAAATGGAAAAAATAATCCCTGCTTTGCCTCCCTCTGAGGATTGTTTTCAGGATCAAATGAGATAATGGGAACGGGCTTTGTCTGGCATTATACAAATGTAATGTGGGATTAAGTCCAGTGATTTACTAACAGGGGCCTGGCTCAATTCCAGCGATTCCTCCAGGGAAACAGCTAATATATTAATGATAAGGTTCCCCCTTACAGCCCACTAAGTGAAACATTCCCTGAAGGCATTACTTCCTTGGACTTGCTGGGTACCTTGAATTCTGCCTCTTGTCTACCCTGATGTGGGATTGTTTAGGCCCTTCCTGAAGTTAGCACAGAGGTTCCCAAGTCCCAAAGTGCGTCACCACAACTAGTTCTACAGGTTTTAGTGATGGATCCTTTCCCAACAGGCAGCCTCCCTCCTCCGTCTCCGTGGAGGGCTCTTCACACCCTTTACTGATGAGGATTGGAAGCTGTTCCCCCACAGAGAAAGGGATTCTCATTTTCATTCTGATGGTATTTACTGGAGAACTTCAAGGGGACTGAAAATTAGGGGGGGGGCTTATGGATTTCGGTAGCGTTAAAATGGTAATTTTTTTCTCCTCTCTGTAAGATGATGCCTGGCTGTAAGTAGAGAAAAGCAGTTTTATGCTCCATTGACTTTAAACATTAATGGGTCTGGCTTAGCTATTGTCTCTAACCCAGCATCCCTGGAAGTTGTTTTTGTCTTCCTGTCAGGGTAATTCCAATAGTGTTCTTAGTACTATAGGAAATGGAGCTTTGAGATGGCATCTTTGTAAAAAAATCTTCCCTTTGTAATGTTGCTTTTGTGTGGAGATGGCTATGTAAATATGCTGGGACTTGGATATTATACTACTCATTATAGAGATGAATTCATTACAGAAGACCAGCTTTATTTTCTGGGGGTGCTTCTCTGGAGAGCTCTGAGAGAGGGAAAGTGCTGTGCTGGACCAGTGGGAGGTAAAGAAGTGCCCTGGATTAGGAAGCAGAATACAAGATGCTAGAGAGCCTCAGATGCAATTAAAAGTAATGAGAGGGTATCAGAAAGGAAAGCGATGAGAGCTTGTGTGCCTGCACACTGGCTGCCTGCCTGGAAAGGACACTAACAGAGAGTATTCAGAATCGCCCGTGGAAGAACACAGAATTCAAGGGGTTTCTGCATTCATGTAGACTGCATTGAAATCCTCCCAAGGAGTTTGCTTTCCACCTGGACCTTGCTTTAAGGTACCTGCATTAAGAGACACCAACTATGGCCAAATGGGATGAATATTAGGCTTGGTATCCCACCTGGATGGGGTCACTTCATCCTTCTGTGCCTCTGATTCCTAATCTGTGAAATGGGGGATGATCCCTTCTTTATAAAATTGTTATATTACATAAGAATATGTTTGGAGGCTGGCCAGTTAGCTCAGTTGGTTAGAGTGCAACCTTAAAATCACCAAGGTCACAGGTTCAGATCCCCAGACTGGCCAGCCACCAAAAAAAAAAAAAAAAGGAATACGTATGGGAGGGATTTTCTTGTGGACCCTGAGGGTGGTGTTGGAGTTAGGCTTTAGGAACCAGAAATACTCTTAGGGATGTTCACATTGAAAAAGGGCAAATTCTATGCTGTGGTCCATCAACAGATGAATGGATAAACCAATTGTGGTATTCCCATACAAGAGAATATTATTCAGCCATAAAAGGAATGCAATATTGATTCATGCTACAACATGGATGAACTTCAAAGACAT